GTGGAGTTTTCTTTTGTTTTTTTTGTTCGCATTTCGCTTTGGAAAACTTGGCCAGGCAACACCTAACGCACATAAATCATGCAGAAGGTGGCAACAGCCAGCCGAAGACAAACAGCAAACAAAACAAAGCGCTGGGCGTGTCATAACTTTTGCTTGAGTCCTTTTTGGCGCGATTCCCAGGACATGGTCAGGCAGCCTTTTGCAGGACTCGCGGGAAGCAGACAACGCGCCAGCGTCTCGCGCGTCCAGCATCTGTTCGCTGCAGGCAAAACTTGCTAGCCAGCCACTAAGAGGGTTCCTTGTAGAGATGTGCTGCACTAGCAGATACCCTGTGCCTGGACTATATCCTGATATAGTTCGCTTAATCTCTAATAGTATATTTATTATAGGCCTACAAGCAGGTGAAAGCTCTACTTTCAGTATTTATTGAGATTCGTCCCAAAACAAGCTTAGATAACAATCGATATATATCGATTTTAAGCAATATTTAAGACTTGGCATTACAGTTATATAAGGTTTTGTATATCCGTTCCTTGCCTGTCATAAAATATGCACTGATATGCACTGAAAGCCAAAGCTTAATAATCGATATTTATCGCTTTTGAGCCATTGATGAGTCCAGGCCTTTTCCAACCCAAACACAATTAAAGTCTACAGCTCATTTTAACTACAACAAGCTTCTCGCTTGTACTTTATATAATAAAAGTAGTGAAAGACCAAAAAACTCGATCGATATCTATCGATTTTAATCAATCTTCTTCGATCAAAGTGTCTTCTTCTTTCGTACCTTTTCCTAATCTATGCAGAAATGACAAATAATCAAGCTAAAGTCTCTGAAGTGGGATATCTCCTGTCGCCCATCAACTCTTGCTTCACTTGAGCAATATACCCACACTCAGCTGCTATGCAGGGTATGTGAAATTGGTAAAAAGTAAGTCGCTGCAACTGACAGGGCGTGCCAAGTGCAGTGTTAACCCTATCCCAGCCCCTGCCGAGCTCAGCCCAACTCTCGAGCGCTTTTCAACACTGGTCCACGTGGAACAACTTTTCTCAGTGTTTTTTGTATTTTGTTGTTTTTTTCGCTCACTTGTTTAGCTTTGGTGTCAAGGCGTTTGTACACCTGAGATTGCAAAGTTGCGTTTTAGTTTTTGACTCGTTGTTGCTTTGGGCAGTTATTATTTATGGGCAATAAATTAAAATAGGAAGGGCGTTTCCAAGGGTTATACACGTCTGCATATAGACGGATGTACGTACAGAGAGTGCGTTTGGCTACGAAGCACATTTGATGCGTGTTGACCCAATTAAAAGCGGCGTTTTGGTTAGAGATCTTTAGCTTAAACGTGATCTCGGCCCTTTTGAGTGTCGCACACACACTCACACACATGCACACATTGTGTGTGGTTCATTAAACTGTGCCATGTCATCTGCTGCTAACCGCTTTAGTGACCAGTTTTCCACCAGAGATTGACATCTAAAGCAATTTGCGTTCATTTCTTGTGAAAGCAACGGACATCGGGCTAAACAAGCAGCGCGCACTGTGAGAATTTTTCGCCACTTTAAGCACAAATCTTCAGAAGCCTCGAAATATAATTGGGAACGTTTTGCTTTTCTCTTGAAGTGTGCTTAGCCGGCAGATACCCTATAGCAAGCAGTTGAGCATTTCAAGCATGAACTCGACTAGTAGTTACCCTATACAGATTATCTCCCGATAGATTTTTATTAATAAACTAACTGACACTTGAGAGCATTAGAAGAATCTAGCATGAGCAAGCTTAAGCATGCTCGACTAGTAAATACCCTGTACAGAATTAGTAATCTATCTAGATATATGTTTCTTAATATACTAATTAACACTTGAGAGCATTACTGTAGAAGAATCTAGCAAGAGTTTGCTTGAGCATGCTCGACTAGTAGATACCCTGTTATATATTATGCTGCACAATATTAATAATACATTTTCCATAATGCACCAAGTGATTTCTTCGGAAATTGCAGCAGTATAATGCAGCATGCAGTTTTTTGAGTATGCTCGACCACTAGATACCCTGCACATATTAATGTATGTACTTGGCAATGTTTGTTAATATACTAACATATACTTAAGACTATTATTAAGAAACTATAAAGTTTGCATTAACTAAAAGACGAGTTTGCTCGACGAGCACATACCCTTTACTTGCTCTAAAACGTCTTTAGAAACTCAAAGCAATGTAGCTGTGATTAGAATTGACGTTAACAACGTAAGGCTAGTAAATGGCTTTGCTTTACTTAAGTGCGCACGACTAAGAGATACCCTTTACGCTAATAAAACTCACTGAGCTTTGATTACTCAATATAATATGAGAAATATAATGTAATAATAAATACTTAGTGATTTTAATACTTCTGAGAAGTGTAGTTAATAGTTAATGTAAATATATACCCTATAAATAAGCTTAAATTGTTAGTTAGGTAAACCTATTAGCTAATGCTATATGGAGATAGCTAGATAAATCAGATAGCTAATGCTAAAAGTAGATATATACACTAAGCACATGCGGAGGTAGCGTGCTACCCACTCTCCTACGCACAGGGTATTGCTGGTCCACACGCAAATCCACAGAGCAGTGGGAAAAAGAAGCAAACAAAACCCTTCCTTTTTTGGAGACAAACAGCAATTATTTATGGTCTTAGAGGCGGACATGTGAGGCGCTTGCTTTTTGCACTTTTTGGGATGTTCGAGCTTGTTTGTCTTGTAAGACAAATGTGTAATTAATTGCGTCGCATCAAAAGGAAACTTGAAACGGAACTAGCTAACTATTTGCATAGAGCATGTCTTAATACAGAGACCTTAGCTCCCCCTCCTTCTGTGTTAGCTTGTCAGTTTTTAAACTAGTTGGGCCGCCGTTTCCTGCGTCTCGTACACGTGCTATTAATAAATCAAAAGGACACAGGCTCTGCGTCCGACCGGAAGTCCAAGGCAAAGCCAAACAAATGAAATGACTTGAGCACAACTTTTTAGCGTAGACAAGGAAGCAAGCTACACCCTCCCTCTCTCTCGGGCTTGTCTGCTCTGCAACTAATTGCATTTCATTGCATACATTTAGGCGCTGCAGCATCAGCTGCACAAATTTCACAGCACAATTTCTTCAAATCACATCGCAAGCCGTAAAACGTTTCGAAATTGTTGCCAAATAGCCATGGCGCACACAGAGCCACAGAGCAAGATTTCCATGGAGCCAACCACACACAAGTGCCTCTCAGCTAGCTGGTCGAAGCATATCAAAACTGCCCAAGCAGCCAGCCAGCCAGCGAGCCAGCTAGGCACAAGGCTGTCTCGAGCTGAGGTGCGGGCAGAGTCGTTTAGACTGGCCAAGTGTTGAGTGCTGTGGTAGCTTAACTGAGTGCGTGCACTGAGCGAAAATGTGTTCGTGATGTAATGAAAAAATTTATAAAAATTTCTGTTGACAATATTGAAAATTACATTGAAAAGTAGGCCCTAATCAAGCAACTGTTATGGCCAGAATCTGTGATCAACTGTGATCTATTTGAAGCGCTCTAGAATTGTGCGTGAGCCCAGCAGAAGGGTATATATGTTTGTACAGTAAATATATAGTATGCATATGGCTTTGACAGTCTCTAGAGTAGGTAACTTGAGTAACTTCCATGTCTCTAACTATGTATATAAGATTATAGACTTTTTGCCACGCTCACAATATAAATTATTATATACCCAAAATTCCAAGTCTCTAGCTTCCATAGCGCTTTAAATAGTAGCAATAGGTATAGTAATTCCCGCTTTGGTACATGCCTAGTTGGCTTATGTAACGATATATATATATACAATAAATATATACGATATATATATACAATAAACATATACGATATATCTATACGATATATATCGTAAAGTAAATTTCAATTCTCTAAATCTACAGAGATAAGAGGAGCGTGCATGTTATACAAAAACCAATATACTCTCTTAACATTGTGAACGAGCAGCAAAATACTCTTCTTGATAGACATAAATAGCTTAAGAAAGTTGACTTAAAGCTAAGATGAATTGGTATATGATGTATTTTAAGTTAATACATATAAAGCTGCAATCTTTTTCTCTCATAGTACACCTGCATTTCGCACAGTGTAGTCAAGCATAAGGAAGCCCGATAAACGCATTAAACCAACGCCAACTCAGTCGACTTATTCAAGCAGTCAACCAAGTGAAGTCTGTCTGCATATGAGTGTGTGTGCCTGAGTGTGTGTGTGTGCCTAGCAAATGGGCAGCCCGCAGCGGGACGCGACGTACAAGTAAAAACAAAAAGCACAAGAAAATTGTGTAAAAGAAAAAAAAAAAACAAACTAAATAAATATCAAGCAAGAGGCAGGCTAAGAAGAGGCGTGGCGCAGGGACTGTGGGGCGGGTCGAGTAGCAGCAAACGACAGAAAACGAAACAAATAAACACAGGAAAAAGCATACGAAATGGCACTAGAGAGAAATGTGGCAAAGCAGAGCCAGCAGCCGGGGCAGAGTGGGCCACGAGAGGAGCCAGCTGTGGCACGGATGCTGTTGCTGTCGTTGGCTCAGGCTGAGCAGCGCTCGTTCGACAGCTCGTAAATGGCAACGAGGATGTATGTGGTGAAAGTGAAGTGGCTTTCGCTCTAGCTGTGGCTCTGACTGTGGCTGTGGCTGTGGCTGTGGCGCCTGCGACTCCGACTTGGTGTTGATTGCTGTTTGGGGTTTTTAAAACGTAGTTAGGCTGCCCCGGCCCGGACTTGGTCGCTCTCTCTCTCTCTACGTGTGTGTGTGGCATATGGCAACGACACCCGCGGCACAGGTGTAGAGCACCCAGGAGTGTCATCGCCGGCAGCCATATAATACCCCATACGACAATTTCAATGGTTATGGCAAGGTTAACACTGGAGCCAAGAGGAGCTGCGCTTGATATGTGTGACAAAATATACACACACACATACATATATATATATATATATGTGTGTGTGTGTGTGTGTGTGTGACTTACCCGAATAGAAACTGTCCAGGCTCTGCAATTCCTCATCATCATCGTAGTCCTCATCGCCGCTAAGGCTAAGCAAGTCATCCTCCAGCTCGTCCTCGGCATCTTCTAGAAGCAGAGAAAGAAGCAGCAGCAGTTAGTTAGTTGTTGCTGTTGTTGCAGCTGCTGCTGCTGCAGCAGCTTTCAACTGCGGCACGTTCCACACAGCCGCTAGCTGCATGCCACGTCCCCAGTTGCAAGGAATTTTGATTATGCTATGCCCCTGGGTGCCATAATTCCATGCCCAAGCATAGCCTCAGACTACAATCCCCCATTCTCGCTTCAGCCTGCCCCCCTCGCACAACCCCTACGACTCGTCGTTTTAAGAGCATTTAAGAGCGCCTCTGCTGGCTGCTGCGCATGCGCCTGCCTCTCGCATCGGTGAGCGTAAAATTTTGTTTTGGTTTTTGGCCACAAACTCTCACACACACTCGCACACACAGACAGCAAAAACAGCTGTTGGCTCAGCACGTGTTGTGCCTCTGTCTGAAGGCACAAATTCTTGTTGGCTTTGAACCCGTCTGCGATTTAGAACGTGGAATGCCTGGCGCAACATTTTCCACACATTACTCATACGCAGCGTTTGACGCGTCTTTGTCTGGACGTGGCTTAGGCTGTGCCACAGTATCCCTGGGCTGCCTGTGGTGTCGCAGCTGCGCTGTCTGGCGGCCCCAAATTCATTGTCTTATAATATCTTTCGCTTAGCTGCTTGAACCGTGAGTTAGGCAATCAGCGCATATTTGGCTTAGATGAATTTTTCATAGCAAAAAATGTCAGTGTGAAGGGAGCTACTTAAGATGAGCCAATATTTTGAGAAGTTGGGTATTTTAGTGTGAGAAACAATAGCAGTTGCCTGAAGACTGAAAAGTGAATGAAGCTTAGACAGCTTGAGAAATTGATGATAAATTGAGCTATCAAATCGAGGCCAAGTAGGCTGAAGCTCTAGGCAGAGGACTTGGAGTTACTACTCTTTATTAGCTTGAAGTTTATTTTGTATTCGTAGCAATTGCGAGAGCTGATCAGGCAAGTTAATGTGCACGAGGTGTGTTCCAAAAGTATCACAAATTTTGATTTTTGCTGCTCTCTGACTTTTTCTTCTATACGAAACTGAATGAAGTTCCAGACGTGACTCTCAGGCACTTCTTCTTGTACTCGAGACTCCTTACTGAATGCTGCTCTACTATTCTACTATAGAGCAGATAAAGACGGCAGCGAAGCAGCAGCTAAATAACATCTCAAAAGATATAATACATTTAAGTGCTTTTATATCTTACGACAAACACTTTGAATAAAAACTATAAAAATATTTATGAATAAATATTTCATTTTTTGAAATAATTTAAAATTTTCAATAATTTTTGAACTGATCTCATATAACTAGCGTGCACCCAATGAAAATATGACTTCAGGCTTTAATGTTTCATATTTGCTCTTATCAGTCTAGCAATCAATCAATATATCTGCATATGACTTTGAATTCTTTAACTAATTCATCAAGCCATCAATCAATATAACTCTTTATATAATTTATATAATAATTTATATATAATTTATATATAATTCATCAATCAATCAATCTCTATAACTTCTTATATAATTTATACAAATTATCAAATCATATAGTTCGATCCATTCATCAATATAACTCCTCCTATAATTCATATAATTCATAAAATTCATCAATCCATCAATCTATATAACTCCTTATATAATTCATATAATTTATCAATCAATCAATCAATAATTTATATAATTTATCAATCAATCAATCACAACAACTTTTCATATAATTCACATAATTTATCAATCAATAAGTCTCTATACCTCCTCATATAATTCATATAATTTATCAATCAATCAATCAATCAATTACTATAACTCCTCATATAATTCATATAATTTATCAATCAATCAAGCAATCAATCAATAATTTATATAATTTATCAATTAATCAATCACAATAACTTTTCATATAATTCATATCATTTATCAATCAATCAATCTCTATGCCTCCTCATATAATACGTATAATTTATCAATCAATCAATCAATCAATATAACTCCTCATATAATTTATATAATTAATCAAACAATCAATCAATCAAATAATTCATATCATCAATCCATCATTCACAATAACTCTTCATATAATTCATAATATTCACATAATTCATCAATCAATCAATCACTATAACATCTCACATAATTCTCTCTCTCTCTTCTAATTCTCCTTGGGTTATGAAGAAAACGATAAACTCTTAACTCTTAACTTATTTCAATATTAAGCTCTATAAGACTTTACGCTTCATATTTTATTTAAATATCAAATCTAAAAGACTAAAAGACTGAATTTTAGATTTTTGACGCATGAACATCTAAGTTTTTAGAGTGCACCTTTGCAGAAGCTGCACACACACACAGACACACACACTGTCACACCTTGAACACCCAGAGTTTGGTATTGAACGCAATTAATCCAACTATAGAAAGCCATCAGCTAATTAGTAGCCCAATTGAAGCTGGGAAAGTGAAAACATAAAGCTGAAACGCATTTGGCAATGGCTTTTTATTAGTTTCTAATGACAAAATGAAATTTTGGGCGGCAGCGGCAACAGGGTGATTCGTGGGGCGTTGCATGCAACATTCTAAGCGCAGCTTCAAACATTTCTTTGATGGCGCCAATGGCGACGTTTTTGACGATGTGCTTTTATGCCGCACTTTGCATACGCGCATCAGCTGGGGGCAGCGGCAGAGGTGGGGTGCGAATGTGAGTGGAGCAGGGGCTGGGGGTGGGCAACTGCGAACGTTGCCACACGTCCAATAATCCTTGTCCTGCAGCTGGGGAATACTTCATCAGCGGAAACAAAATTTTACGAATTTCACTGCCAGAGTGTGTGTGCGCTCTCCGTGTGTGTGTGTGTGTGTGTGTGTGTGGGGCATGTTGCACGTGCGCCGCGCGCCATCTAGCGGCGGGCACACGAACAACTTGCTACATGCCAACAAACGCAAGTGCAACGTTCGCCTGGGCGACGCGCGTCCAAATGGCGACTTTGACACGACGTACCCCAGCCCTCCCTCTACTCTTACCTGCTGCAGCACCGCTCAACTCTCCTTTGCCTTGCTGCTGATGATTATTCAACATGCGCTCTATAGGGAGCCGTATGGCCTGTGCTCTGCCACCGCCCCACCCCTATCTGCCCCTTTTAGGTGTCTTCTTTAGCTGCTGTCTAAAGCACTCGCCGCTGCCCCTCCCCAGCCTGTCCTACTCGATTTCGATACTCTAGTAAGGGGTATTATGATTAGCTAACAGTGTAGACATGTCTTTTAAGGCAACACATATATATAACTGATCAGTTGGTGCAGCTTAGCTGATAACTAGAAAACTCTTTGATAGCATCAATGTTTCTAGATGCCTTATAGATCAGTAGAGCTTAAGTGTTATATAGATTTGTTGGCCTTGGTAAATTTCGTACTTCTCTTATAGATCTTTATAGATCGGATTGAGAATCCTATATCTAGGTATATCTATGACTCTAGAAAGCATTATTAATAAAGCAAATTATCATAAGTTCACAGCATTCTGCTTTATCCTCTAACAAAGACCTAGTCGTATGCCTCTTAATACTATAGACATATAGCTACCATAGCAAGCTTGCAGCTTTATATATCAAGCTAATCTGAAGAATTTCTTGTTTAAATAAATTTATTTTGATCTTTACTCTTTAGCCTTTATTTCATGAATATTTCAGCTCGAGTGTATCAAGTCTTCGTCGCATTGCACTTGAATTGACTTTCTTGTTCTCTAGCTGTGTCTCGCTCTCACACACACACACTTTCGCTGTCTCCCCCTCTCCCTCTCACACTCACTCTCTCGCTCTTTGTGGCGTGCTGCAAAATTGGCTTTCGTCGAATTGTTGCTTTGAGTTTTGCAAATTTTTCGACACCGCTCGCCGACGCTCATTGCGTTTTTATGGATGGCTAGAGGGAGGTGTGCGAAAGTGTGTGTGTGTGTGTATGAGTGTGTGTGTGTGCTTGTTTGGCTGCATTCATCAGCATCGACAGTCGCCTGGGCTAATTTTATGGCTCGCATCTTGCGCGCTCGTCATGTTAATGAAGCGAATGCACTGTGTGTGTGTGAGTATGAAAAGTATGTGTGTGTGAACACGTGTGCATGTGTGTGTGTGGCCTGTGTGGCGCTCATAAATCGAACGAAATTTGCATATGATGCCAGCGCCATCTTGCGGCCATTAGGCGAGGCTTGCGCGCGTTTTTATGATGCTGGCCAAGAGCTTTGATGCTGCTGCTGTTGTTGCTGCTGCTTATGCCCTGCCACGCCCACATATGCCATTGCTGCAGCGCAGAACACTCGCGCAAATTTCCCAAAGCGATGCCTACAACACAATGCACAGCGAAACCCCAAAGCCAGAACCTAGTCCCGACCCAGGTCCAGCCGTAGCTATAGCCAAAGCTATAGAAGAACCAGTCCGACGACAACAACAACAACAACAACTGGTTGTTGGACACTGCAATGTGAGCGCGAGTCCACGCTGCGCCAGTGGCGCCTGCCCCCAGGGAGCGGCTGAAGCGGCCGCCAACTGAGTCTTGCCCCAGGGAGCAGCCGAAAGACAGCGACAGAGGCGGCGACCAAAAAGGGGGCAGCTGCAGCAGGGGCTAGAAGGAACGGCCACCATGTGGACGTTGCTCGCTTGCTCTCAACTGCGACGCTCTGTGACTCGCTCTTAATTCGATTCGTGTGCCTCAGACGCTGCTCCTTTGCCTTGTCCCCAGTGCTCCAAGCCCCCCCCTCCTGCTCCTTACCTAGCCCCCTACCTCCACCCCACCGTCTGTCCCTGTCCGAACCGCTGGGAATTGTTGCGCAAATGCTTTTTGTGTGTTTCTCTGTTTGAAAATTATTGCAAGCAAAATATACAAAAAATAAAGAGAACGAAAATATCAAACGAAATTATATGATAGAGCGCATAGAGGGGAGGAGTATGTGCGATACGTAGAAGGGGGAGGGGCAGGAGGTGTCGATTGGTTTCAATATGTCTCTGATGCAATTAGCAGGCTACAAATGACTTATGCAGTCAAATGAATTTGTGCTGCGAAGCGTAGCTCGAATATTAATAACGATAGCTGAGTTATCGAAAATCGATAAATGGTGTGTTAATGTATCTGAAATGAGTCTAACAAACAAACAAATTGTTTTATGCACTTCAATGAATTTCTTGCTTCAAGAATAGTCAAATTATGAAAAATAAATATGTTATCGATAACAATGTAGTGGAAAAATAACTACATAAGTTTAAGTTAGGAACTAATTTAAATCTTTGCCTATGTCATAAAAGTGTGTTTTATCATGTTCTTAAATGTACTACTGCTTACACATAACTATCGATAATTATATATATCGATAACATGTGTTATATTACGTGCACTTCTATCTTCTGCTCCAGACTGCATTAAAGGTCCAGAAGTGCTAAGCGCATATATTAAACAAAAAGCAAACATCGATAACAACTTATCGATAACAATAATTATAAGAAATTTTACTGAAGAGCGTTGATGTATAATTAAGTTTCCGTAATATACATCTTAGGCACATAAATGTAAATCAAATTAAAATGATCATTTATCGATAACATGCACTTAATCAATTTATCGTTAAGCTGAGGTTATTTACAACCATCGATAAGTTCATCAAATCATTTAGCACTAACGGCCAACAGCAAATTATTTAATAAATAATTCTAGATGGCGTTGCCTGACAAACATATTTTCCAGGCAAGTTATCGATTAATTTAGGACACACCCAACGATAATCGAGATAATCATTAATCAATATGGGGG